AATATTATACATTAAAATATTTTTTAATATGATTAAAATTTTAGATTTTTTTATATTTATTCTATAATTTTTTTTTCTAGAATATTAAAATATTAAAGAAGAGATGAAAAAAATATGAATTATGGTAATGACTTAAATAATTTAAATCAAAACCAATTATAACTATTATTATATATAATATGTTTTTTTGTTTAAAAAATAATAATATAAACTATTTAATTTTATGATAGCTAATAAAATATACTCAAAACTATAATATATTATTTTTTTATAATTATATTGTGTATTTTATTATAGATGTTTTATGTTAGTTCATATAGCTCTCTTCTATTAGTCATTATACAATTGTGTTAATTCATTTATATAGAGCAAGATATTGAATGAATTATATAAATTTATCAAAAACATCAAAAAATCTAGATTTTTAAATAACTCAAATTAAGAATTTTATAATAAAGTTTAAATACTCATAAAAATGTATAAGTAAGAAAAAAATAATATTCAAGAATTTTTAGATATTCTATTAGGAAAAACTCAATATTATAGATAATATTTTAATATAATATTATATATATATGTATAGCTAATTTTTGTTAAATATTTTACATAATAAAGAATATATAACATATATTTTATTATAAAATTGATAAAATAAATATAAATTTAAGTTTTTATTTATATATATATATATATATATATATATAAATATATATATAAACCAAAAAATCAAAAACTTACTCTATATTGAATAAAACTTGTATAATTATTTAGAGATAATTAAAAATTAACATATTTATTATTAAGATAGGTATAATTTTAAACATAAAATCACACCATAATTAGATTTTATTTTCAATATAATTAGTTTTAAGTTAATTATTTATTTAAGAATACCAAATAGTGTTTTTTTAAATATCAGTTCATCAAATAAATTAATAGTATTCTAAAAGTACACTCAACATTGTTTAAGGTCCATAAGTAGGTCGAATTAAAATTTGAATTGTAAAAAGTATTATAATAGCAATATTTTTTGTGACTTGTGAAAAATCCTAAGTTGAAATTTTTCAAAAAAATAGAAATTTTGATAAATGAACATTAAAAATATAACACAACTTGACTCAAAGTATTTGATATGTGCACAGATGTTAATTTGCTTTTAATACTTTATTATTCATTACTTTAAATGAACAGACTTGAATCACAATATTTCAGTATTTTATAATGAATTAGATTTTTGATTCTTTAAAATACATGTTAAAATCATAAATTTGAACGTGTTAAAAATTCAACTTATCTTACCATGCACAATGTCTTAGAAATATGTGATAAAAACATTAATTACATTAAAGATTATTTCAAACATAACAGTATAACATTTCATAGGAATCTGCAAAGTAACTTTTTGTAAAACTTCATAAATTTTTCCAATAAAATTTGAAAATGTGCAAAACAACGAGTTAAATTTATTACTTTATTCTTACTTATTACAATTCACTAATTGATTTTTATATTAATATTTAAATCTCAAATTTTAAAAGAATAGCATATTTAGACTTCAGTTTTTTTTAAAACAATTCATCTCATGAATACGTATTATTTTTTACAAGAAAGCCTCTAATTTTTGATACAAAAAATCTGAACAAATTCGTCTGCTTGCAATCACTCAGTAATTTTTGAACTAAGATAATACGGCATGCAATAAATTTATTTTCTCAATCATCACACCTATATATTAACAGCAATTACGTTCAATTTGCAAAGATAAGTCTTTGTAAGCAGTGTCATCTTATTATTTTAAGAACTCTTCGAGAACAATTTCTTTGAAAAGTAATCAACATAGCATCAATTACCAATATTGTACGTTTTTGGAAAAGAATATTCAATGTTGATTTCAACGTTCTATCGAGGATGTTACATCAGTCCATTTGAGTAAACTTACTGATATATATATATATATATATATATATATTCATTTCTGAA